ACGCCAACTATGGACATCATAGTACTCTCCACCAGCTAACAACAGGCTAACAGGCTGCTTAACCCTCAGTTCAGGATTTCAAATATTTCTTCTGTGAAATCTTAAGCCTTATATTCACGCTTATGATTATTAACATTATTATTTTTTTAAGATTTTGCAAATGAACTGAGAGCAAACACACACCAGCCTGTGTTATATTTCTATGTGCAAGAACATTAGTTACATCAGTCTTGATTATGGTTCGCCTTACAGTTGTGTGCTTACTGAAAAAGCTAAACTTCAGTTTCCTTTTTGCTTCTGTGCTGAGGTATCTGCCTGGTACAGACCTGACTAAAATCACATGACATCATTTGACCCACCAAAACAGCAAGCAAGAAACAAAACAATATTTCTTAAAAATATATTTTATCAGCACATCTATAATTATTGACAAAGCATTTAGGTGCAAGCAGCAGGCCACGAGGGTCTAATTAGACAAGAAATATGAAGACAGTGCAAAAGTATAGCAATACTGAGTTGGTACAAAATGTTTGGTGCAGCAAGTTACATTTAGTGGAACTAAACTAGATTTTGTGCAGAGAACACAGGACTAAGGACTGATGTCTGACTTGACAGGCATTTTCAGTGGCCAAAATAACATAAACACCACACAATATAATGTAATGTAATCCAATATAACAGCCTTGAAATAAATCTGAATGCTTTTGTGAAGATTATTTTGTACAATTTCAGATTTCAGTACAATCCTTTTCAAATCAATACAACACAAGCCACTGCAATGTTCAAACTGTGGCCTTATTTGAACCTTCATTTCTATTGTGTTGGATTGCATCAAATAGTAGTGTTCGTAATATTCTGTAAAAGAACTGCAAAATTTTGAAATCTGAACAATTTAGATTCTCCATCTGATGATGTATGTCAGGTTTTGAGTACTGAACTGCATTAATAAAATATGGCTTGTTTTATATGTACAATACCCTTGAACTGACTGGCCCTTAGTTTTGTATGGAGTGCCAAATGTGGAGAAGAATGGATAAAAAATAGTAGTACAAGGTTATGATGTCTATATTGTATTATATTGTATTATACTGTAGGTAAATCCGACTGAAGCATACAGATGACCTACGGTGACCACAGCACAGAACTTTCGTAATTTTTTAACAAATATTGACAATGAAAATCAATCTAATCTTTTGTGAGCCACAAAAACAACTAGCTTTGCATATTTTGTAAAATTGCTATAAATCTTTCTATGTGTGAATGGAAAATGGATTAAAATGTAAGGGCGTTTCTTAAAGTGACACCGTCTGACTAAAGCTCAATTGAATTTAGGAATACTTTTTGACTGGTCTCAAAATGTGGTCATCATGCATCCTACAAAACCACGAGGAGCATTATACCAGATTAACAACTTGGTTACATTTTGTGATATGAGTCAGATCAGATTCTCGAAAAATCTCCCCAGTAGATACGAGGGTAAAGAAAAACAGAAGAAGCAGGCATGTTGTATAACAATAAATAAGAAAGTGTGTATGCCTAGTGAATACACTTAGACTTGAAAGATAGGTGGCACTTGAGGGTTGCCGGAGAATCCATGTGTCTGACCTTCTCGGGTTACAGTCATAATAGAGTCAGTCAGGTGTTTCCGACAGTAGGACACCAAACACTTAGGCTTCAGCGTCAGAGTGCTGACACATGGAGGAAAACAAGAGGCTAAATGTGGCATGTTGACAAAAGGCTCAGAAAGACAATAACATACACGTTTCAGCAGCCAAGGGAGCATTGCATTACTTAACAAATTGTGTGGTCACTTATTGAAAGATTTCGGTGCTGGTTGTCATCGATGTTGCTTTCAGTCACAGGGGTGAGAGGAGTGTTATAATGGCAGCGTATTCAGCTGAAGTATCCTTTTAATAGAATGACTTACAAATCATCTGTAACTTGCATTTGCTAATGACTAAAATATAAATACAATTATATAAATACAAATATCACTCAGACATCATTTGGAACTGGACTAGTAATTAAACTCAAGGTGAGATCTGCACTTTGCTACTCTGTATTACTGCAACTATGACTGATTGCTTGCCATTGTCTAATACAGTAGTTGAGGTAGGTTCATGTACTGATGTAAATTGAGTAAATTGTTTTCTGGTTAAAGATTTCACTAAAACAACTGTGCCAAATCACTCATATACCTTTATATTTCACTGTGGTAAGACACTTTCGTCTGATAGCACACACCATATGAGTTCAAGAAATATAATTCTCTAACATTAAGAAGATTCACATGTTGAATCCAGGAGACTGGGCACAAAAACACAAAGCTCAGCGTCAGTTCAGTCAGGAAGAATCTTTATCCCTAATTCATTGACACTTCTCTCTCTCTGTCTCTCTCTGCGTGTTTGGGCATTTACTCTTTCAGTTAAGCCAACCAGATACTGCCACAATCAGCCCACCATTTTACTGCTGTCAAACATAAATAAATCTGTTCTCCTCTCTGATGCACAGAGATATTAAAGGGAAGTGCCCTGATAGAAAATGTCTGACAAATTTCTATCCTTATATCTTCGTCATATAAATTGTCAAATATACTAATATTATACTATATATATATATATATATATATGTCAAAGTAATACATTTGTTGCAACACATTTCAAGCTCAGTAGCCATAGCAATGACATCTGTACTGGATGACTGTGCCCTTCACAATTTATGTCATTGTGTTAACCGTACTGTCAGATGGTCAGTTTCATAAGCAAAAATTGCCGAACACCTATCCAGGCAGTTCTGATGGAGTAACAAGCTCCTTAACCCTAACCACATTTTAACCATAGCTTATTTGCCATAACATGATACCATACTTGAGTTGGCACTTGCAGATATTTTTTAAATATGTTCACACTGGACGTGAAAAACTGTTGAACATAATCCAAAGCTTTGAAGAGAATCCAACTGACTGTTCATGAACTAGCAGAGTAAAGGGCTTTCCTCTTGAATGGTTATACTACTACTACTACTACTATTATAGAACTTGTGGAATGAATGTGGATTCATGGCCCTCACGTCTTCACTTGACATATGTAAGTATGATTATCACCCAACATTTCAGCAAATACAATCAACACAGATAAACCTGAGCCACTTGTTATAACTGTGGACTATTATAATGCAGAACACTGAACTCATTTTACTATGTGCTATGCCTTCATTCCCCTTTGGCTCCTCTTCAAACATGTGAGCAGCGACCTTTAATTTACCATGGTGCTGCATGCTGCTTCTTTCTTTTTGACTTCAGACAGGATTCTTCCCACTCCACTCGTGTAATTCCAGCTAACCCTGCTGTTGAACTTTTGGAACACTCGAGAGCCTCTCGGCGTTAGCAGAGAATCTATCCTCTTCGTTAACTACCTTCCTTCAACCACCGATTGACATTTTGAAAAGCTTAACACTTAACGCTCATTTATGATTGATGGAATGATGAGACAATATGGCAAGACAATACGCAATAATGCTTTCCCTCGTTCCAGAAATGTGCATTAATGAACATTAAACATTAATTTAAACATTTTCATGAATAAGACTCCAGGTGTGTGCTAACAGGAAAATCTTCAAGCAAGTAAATTTTTGCTAAAGGAATACTTTGATATTTTGGGAAGTGTGCTTATTTGCTTTCTCGCCAAGAGTTGTATGAGAAGATTTGTGGGAGACACAACTGACTGCTACAACCTGAAAAACACCGGTCACATGTAGGCCACATTTCTCTAGCTAGCTTAGTTAGCTGGTCGAGGGTTAGGGTTAGGGTTATTGCTTGTAAAACTGGTAGGATCCCCGTCGAGCACCACTTACCACTTTTACTTCTTTTAAATTCAGATTTGAATAATAAAAAGAAATCTTAAAAATCAAATGTAAATTCTGCATCACAGTATATTACCATAGAACTGTAGTTGCAAACTCAAGTGGGTAGAGAAAGGGGAGAAACCTTCCAATTAACAACAATCAAAGACAGTTTGCACAACATGTGGTAAAGCACTGTCCTGCATCATTATTATTATCATATTTTTTATTCAAAATGGCCGATTTTACCAAAAGAGTTAGCAGCAATGAAGAATTTTGCCCCAAAGTCTATACTGGGTGGGTCTGTCATGTGGAAATAGACTTCTACCAGCTCTGTTCAGAATGTCTGGACTAATATCACATAATGAATGCCACTGTAACACGTGTAACTTTCAATTATCAGTTCCAATTGAAATGTGTCCATTATGTTATTATAAAACTATCAAAAATATTGTCAAACCCACCATCAGTGTCTTTTGTTTTAGATAATATTGTAATATATTGTTCAGCCAATAGTGGCCAGCTGGCACTAGAGATGCTATCTAGCAGCTTGCTAGCCGTAGAGCAAGCTCAATTACCCCTGTTGGTCATGTGACCTTTGCCCTGCAGATCGTAGCAATCCCTCGAGAATTCTCACTCTCATGGATTGCCATAAAATTTGAACTTTAAAGATGTTGGGACTGTAGGCGTATTATTTAATTTTTTTACATGGCTAAGATGGCTTACCTTAGATGATTCTCCCTGCTTCCAGTCTTTATGCTAAGCTAAGCTAATTGTCTCCTGTTTAATGCCATGCTTAAGACGCAGGCACGAGAGTGATATATTTTGCGTCAAACTATTTCTTTAATGCGATATGGAAACAATGCTGCCATTTCTCACTGTGGCAAAAACAACAAACCAACAATAAATAGATTTAAAAATGGTCCCTGAATCAACCATAAATGTTCCTGTACCCATGGCCCAAACTGTAGATTTGGTAGTTAATGAAAGAATTACATGAACGTCTTACTTTAAATGAATAGTGTGTCCATCTGTTTTTCTGCAGCAATCCATTATATATGTGTGTGTGTAAGATCAAACTGCTATCAATGCAAACTGAATGGTTGTGAAAGTAAAGTCCACTCGTCTGTGTTTTCTTGTGATGGGTTTAACCTTCTGTGTTTTCTTGTGATGGGTTTAACCTTGAGCTGCCAAGGAACAAATATGTTTTAGAATAGTACTGCAGAATGTCAATACCCTGTAAATGCAATGTTTTAAGTCACTGATTAAAGTCAAGTAATGTCTCCATGTGTGCAGTTGTATGGCTGATTAGAACATAAGCTGAAGTATTCATTGCCTTCTGAAATATAGATTTGCTGTATACAAGCCACAGGTGCAGGAGTACAAAAGACAACAGTTAAAATACAACTTTGAGCTTGACGGTTACACCCAAACCTGATTTTACATGGCTCACGTCAGGTTGAGTTTTCTTTTTCTTTCATTTTGCAGTTCAGGTTTAGAAACGTTGAAAATAAATTCAATATTTGAAAATTTTGTAGCAATTTCGCAGTTTTGCAAGATTTGGATTCACACAAGGTTATAGCCCCAGATGTCAACCTGAGATGAGCTGTTTTACGAGAACAACACTAGTTAGTTAATCAGTAGCACGTGTGCTGGTTTTTTTTCATAGCATTGACAGATGTGCGTCTGTTATACTGAAAAAGTCAAGAAGCTCACACAAAACACCACTTGTATGTTGTAACCACAGTCAAGACAACGTCAACTCCACAGAGTAAGGAAAACCTCGTAGGAAAAGATATGTTTCCAAGGAAGGGGGGGAGGGGGGCTTGTGGGAAGCAAACAGATACTCTGCGTGGTGCGAAGACGAGCAGACGTGAGTGGTCGATGACGTCGTAGCAGGTGACAGGCAGCGTGTGATTGGGTAAGTGTAGGGCACAGGGGGCAGGGAACAAGGCGAACTGTCCAGAAGGGGGGTGCACAGTCTAAAGTGTCTCATCTCACACCTCAATATGAGCCTCTTTGGCTGGTGAATTGTCCCTTAAAGAGCCAGAGATGGTGTAGAACCTGCAAGGACATAAAAAAAAACAGGAGGAAACAGCGACATCTGTTAGAAATGTCTTTGTTTTTAACACCAAAAACCTTCAAAATGTACTTTTAGCCATATTTTGCTACTGTAACCGTCAGTGAAATCGTACTGTAATGTATGATCAAGTTGTTTTTGGTTGAAAATGTGACTTCCCTGATTTAAATGAATGATTTGGTGTGAGTACATTTTAATTACAAACTAAGAAAGTTAGTTCTTCAATTAATTTTTTTTCTAAATTTCATCTGTTTCATCCATTCATTTGTACTGAAACAAAGACACCATCTCCAAACCTCGTGAATACTCCCACACATTTGTCAAAGATAACTCTTGCTGTAAGTTACAGATATTAGAGTTCTATAATGGGATCAAGCTTTTTACTAATTAATCTGAAGGATAAAATGGCAGCTTATAGTTCAAGAAGTTCTTCAATGGTTGTTTAATACTGATGCCTCTATATGGCCTACATAAACAAATAAGTCTATCAGCGAGAGGATTGGCTATTTCTGTAGTTATTCTGAATGCCTGCCAGGTCGGATTCCCCACGAAATCAATGAAATGAGGCTGTGGAAACACTACTGCTTTTGTCCACAGGGGCCGCCAGAATCAACACAGAATGAAGTTCCTTGTAGCACCAGTGCATTAATAGAAAAAGACTCCATTATATGTATAAGTTCTGCATCCAAAATCCTACTCTTCTCTTACAGTGTGAAGGTTTAGTGGCACCTAGCCTGCCCAATCTACAGCCAGTGTCCGCTCTGGCCTACTGTAGAAACATGGCACAGGTCACAGCAGGTGGCATCTGTAATACGGCTCATCCTAATTAACAAAAAAAACACAATGATTCCTACATTCAGGTTATCATACTATGTTATACGTTATATTCAATTTCTGCCGATTGATCCTCCTAAATGTTACACACTGGACCTTTAAGCAAAAGTATGGAAGTACCTGAATTTACTTTTAAAAGTAGTGTAGGTGTAGCTAGTTTGAACTACTGTATACAGTTAGCTAATTCAGTCCAGTGGTTCCCAACCTAAATCTGAGGGGTAATGATTAATGAGAGATAAGTTGATTAAAAAAAAAAAAAAGATACACAAATATGATTAAATTTTTTTTAACTTTACTATCTTTGATTTATGTGTTTAATATTGTTATTAAAAATATTCTTTGGGGCACAAAAAGTTATTTAAATGAAACAATTTGAGAAGTCTATACTTTTACCATAAACACTGTAGTTCTTTGTTGAGAGATAAGTGATAATAACATTTAAATAGAAAAATTAAATTAGAATTTCTAATGTCATTTTGAAATTCCATTAGAAATGAGAGAAACAAACTAAACTAACACACACATTAATTCACCAACTGATCCACCAGTTTCTGCTGTCCTTTCCCTCTTCATCCAATAGATTCATCGTTTCCTAATGGTGTATTTTCAGGTTCCATAGCTTCTCTTTTCTTCTTATTTATGATGCATCTGTTGTTTGCCACATGCTTAAATACAGCAGGTCTAATATGGAAATTATGACAGAATGCCATTCACAATAGATGACATGAATATTGATGATCAGTTTAGGTTTAATATGAGCTGAAAGAGTAAAACCTGCTTCCAGCAGCTGCTAAATCCATCAAAAACGACTTTAACTTGGTAGCATTATTTATAAAGAGTAGCAAGTTGAAAGCTGTACTAAACAATTTCAGGTGTGTGTCCTTAAACACTTTCAGTTAATAATAATAATAATAATAATAATAATAATAATAATAATAATAATAATAATAATAATAATAATAAAGTTGCTTTAAAGTGTATTTATTTAGCATCCATACGAAGTGCTTTACTGCATGTGCCAGCACTCGCCCTTAAGTACTGCTTTGGAAAAAAGTGTGTAATTTAAGAGCATTTGTTGAAAACTTCTCACATCGATCATTTTCAGGATCATAGGGCACTAGGGCTGATTGCAGCAGTGGCATTTAACAAAAGGACAGGACCCATGATCCTGTGTCAATGTTCCTCAAACCATCAAAACAACATACTTAAATATTACAGCATAACCCTAACAAATATAAAAGAATGAAACACCAAAACAATTTTGGGTTTTTAAGCAAAGATTTTTAAAAATCCACAATGGACAGAAAATACCGTCTGCCATTCAGATCTGTAATTGGACCATCTCTATCTTTTCTCAGGTGGACTTGTATTTACTTACTGCCGCCGCAGCATTCACATTAAAAGCATTTAATTGATTTTTATTATTTAGTAGTTGTCACATGAAATGCAATGTGTTCTGTTCGTGATGCTTGCTGCCCAATATTGTTTTATCTAAAATGCAAGACAACAGTAATTTTGGGCATTTTTTGACAGCGGATCAGTTGGAATGGAAAAAGAAGCAGCAGCCACAGTAGGCTGTTCGACGAAGAGCTGCAGGTGACAGGCTGACTCCTTTATTAATACCACAGTAACTTGCTTAGCAGCCCGCAGAATTCTGTGTCCTGAAGTGTTAAACCGCATTTAACTACAGGTGTCACATGCACAATAACATTATTAGTTCGGCCCCCACCATGTCTGCGCCAACCCTCGGGCAAATGGAGTTGAATACCCCCTGCGTAGATCCTGTATTATAAAAGACTAGCAGCAACCTTAACAGTGAAGACTTTCATTTGCTGTAGCCTGCTGTGAGAGTCCTCACTGCCCGATGCCCTTGAGAATTAACTGCATTCAATCAAAAGCTCTGAATGTTGTACCACTTCACAGAGGCAGAAGCAGAAAAGACAAGCTATTACAATAGATGAGTATTGGCAAAACTATATTAAAGTCAAGTGTACTTACAAGAACACTGAAAGCTTTGTTTAAGCAACGCATGCTTTGGGACAATCACATTTATTGTTACTGACAACTGACTTTGGATCACGGTGCCTTTATGCTCCATAATGACCCCTGTTCTGTAGATTTTAATAGAATTCCTTGAACTGCAGAAATTGTACTGTAGGTACAAATAAACCCACTTTAAAACTAACAATAACTACAAAAAACTCTTAAAAGTGTGTAAAGACTTTTAAAATGTACTTGGTGCTGGCAATTTTATGTCAGCAGCCACGTATTGTGTCATAAATGCTTCTGCAGTTTTTCCTAAATGGGAATCAGGAAATTCTATTAAATTTACCATTTTATCACATTAATATCTGAAACCACCCTGTTTGTGCCATTCTGAGTCTGTTTCACAGTTATGTAGAAATACCAACATTTGGTATTTACTATACTGTACAATCGAAAATGCAACAAAATTTCTATGGTATTGTCAATATTATTTGTGCTGAATATTAATGTGAGTTTTTTTCCATTATGCTTTGGGTGATGGAAAAACAGGAAGCATAATGTTGTCATGCAAACCCCCATGAACAGTAGTGGACTGTGAGGGGATTTTGGCGTAGTGACAACCATGGCTCACATGATGCACACTAGCCCAGAAGGAATTTTTCCCTCATGCAAACATTACAAAAGAAATTGCTTTCAAAAAGTAAATACAGTTTTTCTGAGTATTACAAACTATTAATTGTATTCATCCCGTTTATGCGTGCAGGAAGTCAGTCGGCTCAGCCAGCAAAGGACTTTATCGTGGATTCCAATCTCAAAATGCGGAAGCCTAAGGAGCTTTTTCTGCATGTGTCCAGTGATGACCCTCTTTGTAATGAATGGAGTACCGTCTTGGAACATTCCTCCCACTCCCTATGTATTCTTTATGTGTCCTGTTGCCTATTAGCACTCATAAGGTACAGCGCACATAGCAGACTACACATGATAGCTTAATTAAATTTTGCTTAGGCCCGAGTAAACCAGTAAATCTATGCTGGAATACCTTCCCCAGGTTTGCCTCAATTAAGTAAACACACACTTAGTTAGAAATATGCACAATATAACGTTCGCCAAGTGCTTGCTCATGGTGGTACTGTTGGGTTTCTGTAAATAATGTTATAAAGAGTTCGGTCTAGACCTGCTCTATTTGAAAAGTGTCCTGATATAACTTCTGTTATGAATTGGCGCTATACAAATGAAATGAAATTGAATTGAATTGAATAGAAGTAATATAAGTATCAAAACTAGGTTTTAAAACAAACTGATGCACGCATTCCACACAGGCCTCAAAACGGGGTAAAGATGCGGGAGCCACCTTCAGGCCCTTATCATTTGAGCTCATACTGTGCTTTATTTATGCACTTTTAAAAAACAAATCAAATTACAATAATCTAATTGTCACACAAGGAATCTGGGGCTCCAGGGCAGTTTTTTTTGTTTTGCTTGCTTGCCTTGCATGTTGCAATAGCGTGTCCCAGTTTCACTGAGGTTATGACACTGGGACATAAAATGTGTCAAATGGGCGCTAAGGTTTAGCTAAATTGAAATTCAGCCTGAGACACTTATATACAGGGATATTGTGTGTTTTTTTTCAAAGTGGGGTTGTATGAGTTTCTTATCCACAGTCAGTGTATTACCTACAGTAGATGGCGGTTAGCAGACAGGAGTGCCTGCAGGGAAGCTTAGCAAAGCGCTGCTGTGGAGGGGGTGCAACAATAACATATTAAAAAGTATGCGCTATACTATGCTTTGCCATCCCACGGCCCTTTCCTTTGGCACTACAATTTTCTGTAATGCAGTATTCCTATGCACGAGCCCAACTGTGCAGTGATTGTATTATACCACAGATCAGCTGTTTGGACCGGCATTACAGCAGTTTATGGAAGAAATAACACACACAAGTAAATAAAAATGAGACATGACAGTAAGAGACATGAATTATGACAGCGACAACAAAATGACCTTCACTATGGAGGCAAGACGATACCTTCAGGAACCAGAGTACACAGAACAAGAGTTTTTGCAGATCTGACCTGTGGCGCTTTGCTGCGTGTCATCCCCTCTCTCTGCCCCCTTTTCTGTCTATCATCAACTGTCACTATCATAAAAGGCAATAAAAGCCCCCAAAAATACTTTAAAAAGTTTTTTTTTCTGTGGCAAAAAGTATGTTTTACTACAACCCCTGTCCACAGCAGCTTTACTTCTGTCGTGGTATTCCTGTCTGCTTCTCTAAACTGGGGGTGTGCATTAGTGTGGTTGAGTGGTTGGTGAAGGAGGTGTCGCAGCAAGCGGTGTATTAGCAGAGTAACAGTGAGAGGTTATAATGTCTGCCCTGTGCACCTGACTGAATACTGTATGTGGGACGTGTCTGGTCAGCTGGTAGCCACACAACTGTTGCATGAGCCGATCCTTACGAAGCGTGAAAAAAACCACTGATCCCAGTCAGCTAATGCATGCATAACTCCAGTGCTCCGCCTGAACGAAAGCTATGCTTCGTCTACAATTTCTCAGGAATAAAGGCTAGAAAGATAACACTCCGTTTTACCTTGACTTCCTAAAATGCCTGCGTTCCTTCACAGCCTTAAAACAGGAGGATTTCATGCAGGAATTTTTCAGGTCCACAACCTGGTAGATGATGGGGTTGTACATGGCTGAGGACTTAGCCAGCAGCGTGGGAATTACAGACACAGAGATGGGAATCGAGTCTGGCTCCCCAAACGCTGACACCACTGACACCACTGCATAAGGGATCCAGGCTATCAAGAAGCCTGCGCAGATCAGCATAGCCACCTGGGAGAGGATACAAAGCACATCACAGATTGGTCCTTCAAACGGTTCCTCCAAGAGCAGCACTGAAACCTTTTGTTTGCCACACTCACCCACCTTAGTGAGTTTCATCTCGAGGCTGTGGCTGTTTCTGATGCGGGCGTCAAAGTGGGATATCTCCTTCGCAGAAGACTTGACCTTGAAGATGATCATGACGTAGGAGAAGACAATGATGCCTGTGGGAAGGATGAGACAGAAGAACAGGATGGCCATCACAAAGCTCTGGCCGGACACGGAGGCCTGGGCCAGCCACCAGTCCAACGTGCAGGAGGTCCCGAAGGGCTCCGGGGCATAGTTCCCCCAACCGATCAGGGGCATGGTGGCCCAGAAAGCTGCATACATCCACACAAAGGCCAGGCACAGGAAGGCGTGGTGGCGTTTTATCCATGTACCTAAGAGTGAAAAAAACAGACAGAGTTTAGATTTAATTTAAGTTTTAAAATTGGATTTCTCACCACTAGTCCATCATTCTTTCTCCAACCTCATTTTCTTACTTTTGTAGTGTGTGGATGGTATAAATCTTGCCTTCCAAACTAATTTTCTGCCTTCACAATAAAGTGACAATTACCTGAAATTCAATCAAATCCTGACAACTTATCATCCCCATCACTGCATCAAGCGTGTATTTTCCACTTTGAGCAGCACAAAGACCGGTCATTTTAACTGAAAATTAAAAATGTAATTACCCACCAAGAGACCTGTCATCCAGGTCATTTAAACCAATTTGTGGTGAACAAAGAGAAACAGGCATCAGCAAAAAACACCTGTCAGCAGCCTCTTCTCCAGTCCAGACCAAAAAAACTTAATTGCGACACCCCCAGGACCAATTAGAAACTCATGGATTTGTGAGCTACATTTATTTAAATTTTTCCAGGTATTTGTTTACCTCAGTAGCAAGCGGTCATCCTATTTTTGGCCATAGTAGATACATTTTATAAGAAATAACTTGTATTTTCTGAAACTTTCACTATATTCTGATCTGTGAAAAAAAAATCTGGTTCCTCTGGCTCCTCCTAGTGCTCGACCCACCACGCCTGAACAAAAACAACCAATCAGAGCTGAGAAGGATAGAAAGCCACTTTCGGTTGGTGGCTTGACAGATGGCTCGACAACTATCTTTCTCGGCTCTGATAGGTTGTTTTCATTTAGGCCTGGTGGATCGAGCACTAAGAGGAGCCAGAGGAACCTGATTATCACAAATTATCTGTCTCATGTACTACTGTCAGGATATAGTGAAAGTTTCTGCAAATAGGACAAAAAGTTATTTTTATAAAAGTTACCTTCTGCAGCTTTAGTATATTCTTGAGTTTAAGCAAGGATCTTTGAAGTATATGTATTCTGCTAATTTATGCTCATTTATTCAATAGTGTGAAAAGGAGAACACTAGGTCTCTTATTATTTGGTCAGTTGGCCTTTAATGGCTGTGCAGTTGTAAAATGCACTTACTTTCACATGATCCCTGTGGACAGATTACATTTATTTACTTGTTTTGTAACTTGCAAAATAGGTCAGATTTGCCCTGGTTTTTGTCAGGATTCTTCAAAGTCTGTTAAAGTAGAATGAATTTTACAGTTTACAGTGGGCCATCACAAAAGGAGTAGACACAATAATAGGGTTAATTCCAGTACAGGAGAGAATTGATTTCCTTCCAATTAGGTTGAAAAAATATGTGCATATATTGGTGACGGCGATCGGCTAAAATGAGCGACGAAATATCGGCATATCATCGGCAAAAATCCAATGTTGTGCATTTCTAGAAATGACGACTAGCATGTGTGGTTGATTATGACACCAAATCTTTTTTCAAAAACATTTCAAAGCTCATATATCTCATTATTTACCCGCAAAAGTTTTATTTATGTTTATTGCTCAAATCCTGTGAAGATGAAACTTATTCTATCATGTTAATGTCTTGCTGTGGATTGTGTAGATCAATACATCCATTCATTTTGAACACTGACATTTTAATTCTATTCAAGGAAATACCATCTTGTTTGGATGGTCTGAGTGGATTATTTGTTTAAGTTGATTACAGGGAGAGAGGAAGAGAGAGAGAGAGAGCGAGGGAGAGGAAGAGAGCGAGAGCGAGGGAGAGGCACTGCACTGTCAATTCATAATTAGTCATACGTGATGATTAAGCTAGTCTGGGCACCTGACCCAATTTATTGTTTGGGTCAGGTTAGTACTGAAGAGGGGAGGAGATCAATAGACAGACAGACAGAACACATCAGTGGTTTCTTCACCTGCTTGCTTTTTGTGGTTCTAACTTTTTCTATCTCTCCCATTGTAACAGTCTACAGACGGAAGGGAAACAACAGGGAAGTGAAGGACAGTCAGCTGTTACACGCCTTCTGCTGCTGATTTCATTCATATATTTAAAAAATACTCAGCGCTCTGCCAGTGATACTAGTGAGGCTCTGATTAAAAAGGCTACGGTTTCAAAAGTAAAATACGTTCTTATTTAGCCTTTCTGAAGCCATTGCCTGGTTAAATCAATCCATTTTATTTTATGAAAAAACTGCCCCCTCACGATTTTTTAACAGCCCTCTCAGTCACTTCATCCTAGCGCCCAGCCTGCCCCCCATTGTGGACCCGTACACATTTATGGCTACTGCCAAAAATCTTTTTTAATTCCCTCTACAGTCTGGGGCCTGATTAGTTCCTGTCGGTGTAACTTAGCTGAAACGTTTAGGAGACCGTGTTAAAGGAGATCCTGATGTACCGTATCTGAGGTGGCAGATCTTGAGGTACCGGTCCAGACTGACCACAGTCATCGTGATGAGGCTCCCACAGCCAAAAAAGAAGCCCGTCCAGCCGTAGAACCGACAACCCTCCCAGCCAAACAACCAGCGGTGGGAGAAACTAGATACAACGAAAAAGGGCTTTCCTGTCACTGCAAGGACAGAGAAGGGAAAAGATGGAGCATGAAACGGGGAAAAAAAAGAGGAAGGGAGTGAGCGGAAAAAGAAAGAAAAGGGGAGAAGGAGAAGAATATATTAGTATCAAATCTTTAAGTTACAGTTTGTCAAAAAGAAACTTTCATTTTAAATCATGAAAACAGAGACACAAAATGAATAATAATTATTGCTTTAAATTAACTTCTAAACTAATAGCTTTGTACAAACATCGATTTATTGCTATACATCTCACCACCTCCACAACCCTTTCTCCACCACAGATCACAAACAGAGCCAGCATTCACTTTGCTATCCATATGTCCTATCCTAAGACTGTTACATAAAGAATAAATGAATGAAGTTTTTGTTATTGTGTTATTTATATAACACTGTCTAACCCTTACAAGGCAGATCAGATTAATATCAGGCAGATGGTAAATAGTGCATATACTGCATACAAGTAAAATAAATTAAGAAAAAAAAAACAATTTTCATAATAAGATTTTCAGATCTTCATGTCAACTACAAATATCATAAATTACAGACAAAACATGTACTGTATATAACAGGAGAAATCACTTTAAATAATAATTAAATAATTCACCCACAATCAGTCATTCCAATTTTCGATCTCATATTTCAAAGGTTGGTGGAGCCATTTCATGAAAAATTGACACTTTTGTGCTTTGATATTGTCAAAGCATAAAAAAGAGGCTTTAAAGGTTGGAGTTAAAAGTTGAGAGAATTGTGTGATTTACTACACACTTCTTTTTTATCTTATTTATTGATTTAGAGGGGAAAATTATATTTCACTTTATTATTTGACAAACACATGACACACATTGATAAATAGTGTCATCAATATTTTATCCGTTTTCTTCAAGAATGCAATAAAAATACAAGATTATTCATATGGAAAATATATGCTGCGGTGCAGGTTGCCTTGACTTGAGACTACATAAAACGTGGGCAGAAAAATCCCAGTCAGTGTCTTGTAGCGCTGAAGACAAAAGTTCCTTTTTCCTTTCCTGGTATTTCCAACTCAAATAAAAAAGCAGAAATACATGTGACAGCTCTTGTGACAAACAAACATTACTCAACAGCATTAAGGAGTGACAAAGGAAGAACTGCCGATTTATCAACACAAAGCAATGTTAGTAATTCTTGTAGAAGCTTCCTTGAAAGCTAATGGCCCCGTCTTACGGAAGTGTGAATGGTAGCCATTGTATTTTCATTGGACTTATTTAACTGTTCACACACAACAAGGGCTAATAAGCTGTCCTAAGTGTACTCCTCATTGCAGGAAACCACGGTGACTCCCTGATTATTATGGTGTGTGTGAGATGTCGGCCCCGTTTCCTGGAGAGCTGGCCAGGCCAAGAGCCCTGTGGCATGCCAAGCCCAAGTAGCATGAATAGGGGATAAACATCAAAACCTCTCCAGGCAGGATTGCATGAAACAAGACGAACCAAATGTTTTCTTGGAATCACTAAAAACCCAGCGGAGCATGTACAAACACTTCCACACAGCTGTTCACATGTTCGGAGGGTTAGATAGTGTTTACACATTCTGAGTCACAGCAATAACAGCAAAAAAAACCTTCATCTCTAGAAATCAGGCAATTGTTGTGTTTCCCCTTTGGCTTTTCTGGCCTGGTGGTTGTCTTCTAGCTCCTTATTACATGCATAGTTCAAATTACTCCCTTAAAAAGGGCATGAGCACCCATGAGACATGTAGAGCTAAAAAAAAAATATTTTTTTTTTTTTTTTTTTTTTTTTTTTTTTTTTTTTTTTTTTTAAAAAATTTTTTTTTTTTTTTTTTTTTTTTTTTTTTTTTTTTTTTTTTTTTTTTTTTTTTTTTATTTTGGGAAGGGGGGGTTTGAAAGGAGAAAAAGAAAATTTTTTTTTTTTTTTTTTTTTTTTTTTTTTTTTTTTTTTTTTTTTTTTTTTTTTTTTTCCCCTAAAAAAAAAAAAAAAAAATTTTTTTTAAAAAAAAAAAATTTTTTTTTTTTTTTTTTTTTTTTGGCGGTTTTTTCATTAATTTCTCCCAAAAAAATTTTTTTTTTTTTTGTTGTTTTCCATTTTATTTTTTGGGTCCTCGGCGCCAAAACTAATTTGAATAATGGAGAATATTCATAACGTTAATGTATTTTGCTTCTCTTGATCCGGAGAGTGTCTTCTTTGGATTGTTCTGAGCTCTTCCGGACAAGATAAGGTCAGTACATCTATGACGGTTACTTTTATTTACTCTTATCAGTGTTTTTGTCTTGAAATGGCAAATAAACTGCAACATGATTTTAAATATAATGGCCACTTTTAGACACCTTAAGAGACTAGTTTATGATAGTATATTAGCAGTTTCAAGAGGATCAGGAAGAGCATGCCATGTCTTTGTAAGCCCCACAAAAAGGCTTAATGACAGGGGAGGATTAGTGAGGATTAGAGCACTGAGGGTGACATCAAGTATTATGCAAGGTAAAAAAAAAAAAAAGCAATTACATGATTTCAATTTCATAACGTCAAAATATTTATTTTTAAACCAATGTTTAAAATAAAAAAAATACTTTGTTAGACTTAACTATTTGAATTACTTTTAATGTATGGGCATGCATTTTTGAGAGGTTTTTAAATAATAGATTGTGATGTGTTTACATCATCGCCCTGTCATCACATGTTTCCATAAGCACTTATGGCTGCTATTAGTTAACAACCAAGAAAACACACCTTACATTACTCTCCACTAATACTGCATTACCTAACAGGTCAGTCCATTCATTTGTTGCAGGCCAATACTCTTTGATTCTTTACTTTAAAAAGGACCTTTGTCAGGTTTGGTATATCCTTTGATTATTATTTACTTCTCTTAACAAATGTTAATTAATACACCTTTCTAGCAAAATGCTAACATGCTAAGGTTTACCAGGTACCAAGCTCACCACCTTACTTTAGCATGTTAGCATTCAAACTTTTGTTAATTAGCACTAAACACAAAGTACATCTGAGGTTAACGGGAATGTCATTAATTTGGAAAAGAAGAAGAAAGTCATTAGGCCATGAATATCTCTACCACACTGGATGTCCAATAGTTAGTTAGTCCAGTCTAGAACAAAATGATGGACCAAACAACTGCAAACGGGATGCAGCCGATGTTGTCTGTGGTAGGCAGAGCCATCTTTTATGCTGCTGTGTTCTGGGTACGGAGCACGAGGACGAGAGACGCTAACAAGCTGAACAAGCTTTGTCTCCATGACTGAGAGGAGATTGTGCATATAGTGGTATTTTTGTCGTCAAAATCTGAAGTTGAAGTTCCCTGTTAAAAGAGTTTTTTGGGGAGCTTTTCCAAATTGAGTGTTGAATGTTGTACAGATTGCAAAGCCCACTGGGGGAAATTGTGGTTTGTGAATTTGGGCTATAAAAATAAAATTTGACTTGACTTGAACAAACTAGTTAGGAAGGCTTGCTGAGATTGGAGCTGCATAGGCATGGACATGGAGGCCAGCAGTGCTTTGATAGGCACTAGAAAAACATTTATGCCCCATTAAATGAGTCGTTGTATTGTGTCGCCACAGACAACAGGAACAAAGTTTTTATTCAAAAACCATCATTTTAAGTGGGCACTAAATAAGGAATTAATGGAATGGATTTCCCCGACAACCCTTGCATGCCCATGCTCAAGAAGCTCTAGAAACACACATACAGACACACAAGATAAATGTAAATGTAAGCAGACATGTACCTCGTAAAGGCAGCGCACTAGTGCAAACTGCTACATTAAGGCAAGACGCCTCTCAGACATCAAGTTATTTATTACATTTTTGTAATGCCCGACAAATATGCCACAACGTTATCACACCCCAGGCAAGAACATCTGCAATCCCAGTCAACTCTGCTCGGCATACTGGGTAACGGAAAAGACCTGCATACAACCAAACTCAATTGGTTTGTTTCAGTGGCGAAATCCCCATGCTGCATGCAGTGTGCCAGCCCTTAATGGAAGAGACAAAGCCCAGAATACCCCACAAGTATCACCAGCAGATGCCTCTTATTACTGTTAATTAAGTCCAGCCAGACCCACTGCCCCACAACAACAGTTCCACCTTGCTGCATTACTTAGCTGGTGGCTTTCTTACAAGAGGCTCCAACTGCACGCGTGGGAAGTGCCAGTACATAATAGTTAATGTTACGGTTTTTCAAACTTAAATTCCTAGTAAAGCTTTATAGCATAGTTATCAGTGGGTCCATGTGTTGCATTTGCTGCCACAGAAAATAATTTGATCTCTTTTTCATCTGCAGTCTCTCCGTCAATCCCGAAGTGCTTGCTCATGGTGGGAACTGTTGGGTCTCTGTAAATAAGGAGTACGGTCTAGACCTGCTCTATTTGAAAAGTATACTGAGATAACTTCTGTTATGAATTGGCGCTATACAAATAAAATTTAATTGAAGACGATTCCAGTATGCTATAATAAGGAAGACAGGCTCAAGTGGAAACCAGAGATCTTTCAACCACAGTTCAAAGCCGCGGTTCTGACAAAGTACTAGTACAAAAGCCACTTTAAGAGGATAAATAATGAAAAGAAAAGACTGATTATTAAAGTTCAAGGCTTTAACTCACAGATTAAATCAGTTCTTTTGCTTAGAATCTGATCCCATACAGTGTAGAAAATACCTTTACCAATAAGCTTTTATACTGAACATGAGCCTGATTTTTCTGATGACCAAATGACTAGTATTGTTTTATTCTGAGATGAGTAATAAATAGAAATAGAAATTTACATTTTGGTTGTGTAACAGTGAGGATTGTTGCCAGGAGGGTAAAGTAACAGCTGCAGTAGTTTGAGGAAAACAAGGCTGCTATTATGGTATAGTGAGAGAAAGAGAGTGATTTCACATTTACCATTGTGCAGAGAGGTAATGTATTAATAATACTAAGAACTGTGAACAACACCATGTTTAGGGTTTTTGGTGCTATGCAGGGAAACTGGACCTAGGAGCTGAAA